TTAGATGTGTAGTGGAAGGGGGTAAATGTACAAGGTAGTGTATGGTAGAGTGTAGTGATGGTAGATATGTTAATGATAGATGTATAGTGAGCATAGATGTGTAATGAGGGTAGATGTGCAGGTAGTGTTGGAGGTGTGTAGTGATGGTAAATATGTAATGATTGATAGATTTGTACAATAGTTTACATGTAGAAATGGTTAATTGTATGTAGTGATGGTATATCCATACGTAGTGAGGGAAGATTGTTAATGATGATAGATATGAATGGTATTGTAAATGTAATGTTGTGATGGTAGATATGAAGTTTAGTAATGGTAGATATGTAGTGATGGAAGATGTATAGTGATGGTAGATGTGTAGTGATGGTACATATCAAGTATAGTGATGATAGATATGGCAGTGATTGTAGATATAGTGAAGATAGATTGTTGTGCATGACTTGGTAGATATGTGTCTCATGATGGTAATGTAGATTATCAAATGGTAGATGTTAAAGTGTTAGTGTTAGGAGATGTGTATGTAGTGATGGTATGATGTGTACTGATTGTTGATGTGTAGTGTAGTAATAAGAGATGTGTAGGGTAGTGAAGGTAGATCTGTAGTGTAGCAATGGTAAATCTACAGTGTAGTGAAGGTCCGAGTATGATGGTATAGGTGTATGCATGGTTAGTATTGTCGTGATTGTATATATGGAGCAGAATGTGTATGATGCATTGTGTACAAATGGAAGATATGTGTGATGGGGTAAGATGTGTATTGATAGTAGATGTGAAGTGATGGTAGATATGTAATGATCATAGATGTGTACGTGATGGTAGATGTAAAGTGATGGTAGATGATAGTGGTATTATAATGGTGTTATATGATGGTAATGATCGAGACATGTATGATGGTAGATGAGTAGTTGTGTCTGAGGTAATTGTTATAATTGTAGATGTGTATTGATGTTAGATAATAGTAGTGTCTATGGTAGATGTATATGTAGTGATGTAGATGTTTAGTGTAGTGATGGTAGATGTTGTAATGATTGTAGATATGTATGTAAGTGACCTTAGAAATGTAGTGATAGTAAATGTAATAGTTATGGTAAAGTGTGATCTCCTCGCTAACATTTCTCCTCTCTAAAAAAATAATAGTTGTAGTATTATGTGCATAATTTTTTTTCCAATATGTAGTTATTAGTAAAAACTCACGTGAAGAAAAGATTAAGATAGTGTAAGTTTTCAAAAAGTTATAAAAAATGAAGTCCTTCTCTGAAGATAGGTCCTCATCCAAATGCAAAAAACTGAAAAAGTTTTTAAAAAGTAAATAGCGAGTACAAATAAACATGTATTAAATCTGTGTAGGGCCTTATCCCGTGTATAAACCGTGAACTATGCAGAGTGGTACCCATTTCATAAACGAATTCCCAGTGAGTAATAATTCACTAAATAAAAGTGTACCTATGATATTGCTCAACTGTATATAAAAGAGAACCAATAAAATACATGGAATGTGTGTGTCTCTTATTTGTTATTTTGCGTCCCAATTATATTTTGTTATTGTGTTAGTCCGCAGCTTCAACATTTTGCGGTTAACCGTATCATGATGGGTGACAGCTATCTTCCCTCTTTGGAACACAATTTCGACCTGATTATCGTTCATCAGTTGACGGATTGTTTGACCACCGACACCAACAATCAATTTTCTTTTGTTGTCAGGAACAGATAGGAATCTTTCAACTGGCTTGTTTTATCTCTTTTCCCCTAATAAGTTTTTACTGACAGTAACAATTTTTTGTATGTCTTGTGTGGCACGGTCGACATCTTCTACTAATCCTTTTACACGAACTTTGCCATCAGGGTACTGACTGAACGACGGGGCCCCATCGTTAACCCTTAGCACCTGGTTCGCTGTTTGGGGGAGATAGCCTTTCAATGAGGGTGTGTACATGCGCCGAATAAAGGTTACGTACTCTTTGCATGCCACAGTCAGATACCAGATACACTAAACAAATTTCCTAAATTTGCTTATAACAGATAAGTGAATTGTAGATATAAATCCAAATGTACATGTTTTAACTCTTTTGAGGTCTAGTTCCTAGGCCTTGTGTGTATCCCTATGCTCTTGCGATGCCCTCCACAGGAGGGATGTGGGTGCACAATAAACTAGCCACTTCGGTGGCAAAATGTAAATCTAATCTGAACTGTCATAGTGAAACAATACGAACTGAAAAGTCGATTTATTTTAGGCTCAAATTGTTGGTTCCCTGTGAACAAGCGAGGTTGGTTGGTTTAGTGGGTTTGAAGCCTGTCGACTACATGAGGGTCGATAAGGCTGCATGTCACCTCTCCCTCACTAGTCAAAAATGCTTTAATCCCTAAAATAGAGATAAACGTAAACTGTGTATGTATACCTGGATATACATATATTTTAAATCACCTTCAAAAGTGCTCTTTCTGAATGCATCTACTCTATAAATTTTTAAAAAATACACCAAATTCTCTAAATTTTGCCTGTCGCCCATAACTATAATTCAGTAATTCAGAAATTATTTTGAAAAATATATGAAACCACAGTGAAGTTGGCACGTACCGTCCACACTCCTGCAGAAAGGAGTGCCACTTGGCACTGGCATCTCGACCCCCAAGTGGCCCCCAAGACGCTCGCTAGACCTCCTCAATCTTCAAGATCTTCCCCATCACCTCCCAAACCTGGCACCTTACCTGATTGCTGGCTCGGGCACTTCTCATCCCTCTGGCTGGTGTATGTCGTCGACCCAAACAGCTCTGTAAGGAGTCCTCAGGAAGGTTGTCAAGTGAATAGAAGCATGATATTTTCATCTGTGAGAGAGCAGGGAGGAAGTCGAATGCCGTGCTGGTGTCTGTGTAATGATGGGGTGTTGGTCTTCATGTGGCCCGGACCCTCAAGCAGGTGAGTCTCTAACCCAGAAATAGCATCACTCTTCAAGCGATATTGACACTGGAAAATGCTGATGTGTGTGTGTGTGTTTGTGTGTGTGTTGTGTGTGGTGTGTGTGTGTGTGTGTGTGTGTATATATATATAATGTGTGGTGTTGATGTGCCGTGTGTGGTGTGTGTGCATGTGTGTGTGTGTGTGTGTATGAGTGAGTGTGTGTATGTTTGTGTTGTGTGTGTGTGTGTGTGTGTGGTGTGTGTGTGTGTGTGTGTGTGTGTTTGTGGTGTGGTGTGTACTCACCCAGTTGTTGGTACAGGGGTCGAGTCACAGCTCCTGGCCCCGCCTCTTAACCTGGTCGCTAGCAGTTCATTCTCCTGCCCTCCATGAGCTTCTCATACCTCTTCTTAAAAGCTATGTATGGGACTTGCCTTCATTAACATCACTCCTAGACATTCCACTTTCTGACAACTCTGTGACTGAAGAAATACTTCCTAACATCCCCAGTGATTCATCTGCGTCTTTTCCACATCCAATTGTACCCCTTGTTTCTGTGTCCCATCTCTGAACATCCATTCCTTTGTCTATTTTTGGTCAATTCCTCGCAGTATTTTTATATGTCGATATCATGTCCTCCCCTAACCTCCTGTGTGTGTTGTGTGTGTGTGAGTATGTGTGTGTGTGTGAGTTGTGTGTGTGTGTGGTTTTGTGTGTTGTGTGTGTATTTGGTGTGTGCGTGGGCAACATCTCCTATACCTGCGATCCTTCATGAGGCAAACTTGTTATAGTAAAATAGTGAAGCACTTGAATCGCTGTGGTAATGCGTGCCGTAACTGGGAGAATGACACGTCCTGGATCGTGGATTCAAATTTTCACACACAGTTGCGGTTCCTGAACACCAAGTCACGCTGCTGTATGGTGCCAAAAGTCCCCAATTTACCAATTTTATTCAATAGTGACATTCAAGTGACTGACTAATCGTAATAACACAATTGCAAACAAACCAAGAGAAGAGTGAGATTCGAACTCCCACGCCGTGAGTTTTCGATCCCACCCGTACCCTGGTTTTAGCGAATTCATTTTTTATTCAGATAACTAAAGAATATTTTATCCAAAGAATGAGAATGCATTATATCAACAAGGATGACTAATCTAATAAGTTTTAGTCCCGACGAAAATTATTAATTTAAGCTGAAAAATAAAAAAACTTGTCATTTCAATCAGATCAATTACTGGAGAATAACTTTTCTGATCGACTTCAAACTTTTAACAATGTTGGCCTTTATAAAACACATGTGTCACTCGTCCCATACCTAAGTAAATCTAAATTTTGCCATTTTATTAAGAAAATCATTTCAGATTTACAAAATATATCAAAAACAATTTTTTTTCTTACAAGATATAAGAAAATTAATAGAGTGTAAATATGGAGAGAGAATACTGCAAAAATAGAAATTCCTGGGTTTAAGGTGTTTTTAAGATTTAAGGTTTTAATTATTAATGGTGTTAAGTTTTTAAGGTGTTTTTAACTTTAAGTTTTAAGTATTAAGGTGTTAAGTTTTAGGTGTTGTAATTATATGGTTTTAAGTATTAAGGTGTTAAGTTTTAAGGTGTTTTTAAGTTTTAAGGTTTTAAGTATTAAGGTGTTAAGTTTTAAGATGTTTTTAAGTTTTAAGGTTTTAAGTATTAAGGTGTTAAGTTTTAAGGTGTTTTTTATAAGTTTTAAAGGTTTTTAAGTATAATGGTTTTTTAAGTTTTAAGTTTTAAGTATAAAGGTGGTTCAGTTTTAAGGTGTTTTTAAGTTTATCTAGGAGAGACATTCTTATTTTTCGAAATATTTTCAACAACATTTTCGTTTTTCTCACAAATATTCGTGTATTACTCGGGAACGCTTAATACGATCGGCTTCAAATTTTTAACGCTTGCGAAATGCATCTGGGCAGAGTCCAGGTGTCTTGTAGCTCCACAGCGCACTCGAGCTCACACAGTCACACACAGACGTCCGGGATCTTGATCGTTTATTGGCGCTGCACTGGAAAAACATTAAGACGTGTTTTTCCCCTTTAAGACACTGCATCCTTGTTCACCCCATCAGTAAAACAGGTAACCATGGGTGTTTTAGTCGACTGGTGATGGTCGCACCTGGGACAAACTTGACCTAATTTTTGCCCGAAACACATAACATGAGCTTTTCTATACAGTAGTATGGTCATTGATGTCAGCTACCAAACCATAGACCCCCGGCCGGGATTGAGCACCCGCGTCCATAGAGTCTTCTCAAACTCGCATGCCGCGACGCGTTAGCCAAAGACCAGCTTAGCCACAATAGCTGAGATTCGTCAGTAAAAACTGCTTTTGTGGTCACAGAGGTGTCCTGTGCTAACCATACTATGGTGTACAAATATACCTATTGGATTGAATCTTATTGTGGCTAGCTGTCTAGTGGCTAACGCGAACGGCTGGAGTTTTTGAGACTCTATGGGTATCAGCCCCTTCAACCCTTTTCAGCCCTTTCAGCCCTGAGGGCCCATCCCTCTCAGAAATGGGCAACATCTTGTTTACTGCTACAGCAATTAATTGTATCCAGAAGCATACCAATGCCCCGTGTGTCAATCGCCCGCCGCTCTCTTGCAAGATCCAGTGTGCAAGGTGTATTTAATAAAAGACAGTCCATCTCTAACCTTAGCAGGACAATTAAGTGAAAATTCCTGCTCTCCCACTTTTATATCAGGTAAAGAAAGAGGGACATGTGTTGTCTATGGCTTAAGACAGCAAGAATCAAGCATCTGCTTTGCTTCATGGAGGAAGTGGCAAGGAACAAAAGTACTAGGTCAGCTTTTTTCCTTTATGTGCTATGGAGTGACGGCGTGAGGCGCTGTGGCGTTTCAGATTAACTTTTCTTTTGACATCTACGAGTTTCACACTGAACATCAGGATAACCAAATAAGAACACTGATCCGTGCGTTTTGCGAACAAAAAGTGTCTCACAAAACACGATAAAAACCTTACAGAGAAGTGGTGATCAACTCTTAGTGATATGTGTGAACAATTTTATTAATGAACATTAACAACGGAGTGTTGAGCAATCCAACAGTGGTAGTGCGACATTCCTTCCAAAGCACACTATTCTTCATCAACTCAACGGATATTTCGGCGTAATTACGGGTCAGATACATATACCCCAGGTTAAGTGCTCTAACTCGGTGTACTACTATTGACTACGCAGTTTGACTATAAGATCATGAGTTAGTCCACATATCATAAACCCCAGTGATATGCGGACCTTTGAGTCCACACAAGTAAGTTTGTCAGCCATCAGTGAATGAAATATGCTGACATAACACCCCCTAGGGGTAATTTATTGTTTACATAATATGATCTATTCCAGCCCGTTGAGAGATGATCATGACAACAATTCAAGTCCTGGTCTGCAGGGGCGGCTGTGTAGACGATTTGCTGTCTTTTGTCAGCTAAGTGTTCCCTATATTTAAAATTATAAATTATTTCTTAGCTGGTAAACCATTTCTCAAGAATCGGGGCGACAGAGAACAACTCAATAGTAATAGACAGGCATTGATGATGTGAAGCGTTCAGTGTGTCCAGGCATCCTGCTGAATATCTCATGGTTGGTCATCCAGAGGTATATGTAGAGCATGTAGTCATACTGCCACCTATTGAGAGCCTCCATGGTGGGAGGGATTGATATCCAGGCAGGACACCTGTGTCCAGCGTCATACAGCTGGAATTTACGCCTCTGTTAGGTGGCCTCGCCGCCAAAGTTGTTACTGGTCGAGTACAAGCGCATACAGTAGATCTCGAACATGAATAGGAAGAACTGGATGGTATCGAAGATCAAGGCCCAGTACATCTATGGTTCTTCATCCTGCAGTTTCCAGTAGCAGCCCGTCGTAGTGTAGGGTAAGTCGGATTCATTGATTTATTTGACAACCGTCAACTTATGGTGTTCTACTTTCAAAGCTTAGCACTTGAGGAGCATGTCGTTGTGAGTGATGGTATGTAGCACCTACCATACGTTCCCAGTTGTGTTTTACTCATATTCGGTTGCACAGCTAGCTTAATTCTATAAAAAATACCCTGCCCTGTTCGTCACTTCCTATGCGTAAATCGTTCTATCGATAGGTGCCGGTGGCGGAAAGAATGTTGATCTCGCAGATTCGTTGCAGAGTAAGATCGGTGCTTGGCATGACATGTAGCACATCAAACGCCATGCTTAGTTAGTTACATTTTTCACAGAGTACCAGACTCTAGGAGTCTTATTTTATTAGGCACTGTCAGTTGTATTTTGCTAGGCACCGTCAGTTGTGTTTTATGAAGCACTGTCAGTGATGTTTTATGAGGCACTGTCAGTTGTATTTTAAGAAGTGTTCAAAGCACTGTCAGCCGTGATTTAGACAGCGTCCGAAGCACTGCGTGTCTTGATTTAGGAAGGGCTTGGTGCAAAGTACGTGCCCTTGATAAAGCCCCAGCAGAGCAATTTCCAGGGATCTGATGCACTTATTTTTTTATAGTACGATGGATTGCTACGTAAATCGCATAGTAGTATCGAGGCATTATCGGTCGTGATGCAATCGAAATCCCAATAGTGCTCTGACACTCGAGTCGTTACATTTTCAGTGAAGTTTGGCAAGAACTGTGGATTGTCAACATTATTCCTGAAGCTTTCGATGTCAAATAAGTTATCGACCTAGCAGACATTGACATCGGAGCAACAAGACCAGGGAAGGGTCTCATTTGCTTTGTAGCCATTTTTCATGTAGTTAACGTAAGGAACCCAGTTCCCTGCCCTGCCCCAGTCTGTGTAGCTCGTCACCCCACAGCACTTGTTTCGGCTCTACAGGTTGTCCAACAAAATCTGGGGTCTCCTTAAGACCCCGTATCGTTTCATGGCTTTGGGAAGCGCCAGCAGGAGGGCCTTATCGAACTGCAAAGGTATCGTGACGCCCATAAACAGCTAATACAAGAAGATGAAGCAGCTTCCTGCGGCAACATAACCGCAGAGTATAGAGGTGCTGCGGTCCTGAGACACCCACTAGTTGGGATTCAGGGAGGAGGCCTTCTTGACGAAGAAATAAACGTAAGTCTGCATGAGACACGTGATGACCATCATGACGTAGAGAATGAGATGGTTCCAGTATTTTGTGAAGTACTCATACGAGGGATTCGACCCGTCCAGTCGGACTTTAGGGTTGAATACTGCCAAAAGCAAAAGTGCCTTGTTATAGTGGAACAAACAGTAATCAACTAAAGCCCACTAGAAAAAGATGATAACAATACCAAAGTGTGCCATGGTTTGCACTGCTCGCCGATAGCGCATACGACTAGCGACGCTCAGGAGTTTCATGTTTGCGAGATTATTTATACTTTTGAAAACATAGAGTGTATGGAGTCTTTCTCTATACATAATATATACAATATGAGTAAACGAGGCAGGATGGAATTACCAGGTGAACCCACAACGAAGACGTAACGTTGACTAGGAATCAAAATTTGGTAACGAGGTGACATCTAGACGACGATATTTAGAAGTACTACTAGAAACAAAATATTTTTGCACTATGCTGTGACGTATTAAATTACGTAAACTGGCACATTTACAGTGATGTTTACAGCGATGTTTACAGTGATGGCATTTAATGTGTTTATAGGGAGGATGTTTATGGTGTTGATGTTGATAGCGAGAATGTTTATGGTGTTGATGTTGATAGCGAGAATGTTTATGGTGTTGATGTTGATAGCGAGAATGTTTATGGTGTTGATGTTGATAGCGAGAATGTTTATGGTGTTGATGTTGATAGCGAGAATGTTTATGGTGTTGATGTTGATAGCGAGAATGTTTATGGTGTTGATGTTGATAGCGAGAATGTTTATGGTGTTGATAGCGAGGATGTTTATTATGTTGATGTTGACAGCGAAAATGTTCATGGTTTTGATAGCGAGAATGTTTTTTATGGTGTTGATGTTGATAGCGAGGATGTTTATGGTGTTGATGTTGACTGGGAGAATATTTATGGTGTTAATAGCGAGGATGTTTATGGTGTTTATAGAGAAGATGTTTATAGTGTTGGTGTTTTCAGCGAGGATGTTTATGGTGTTTATAGAGATGTTTATAGTGTTGGTGTTTTTAGCGAGGATGTTTATGGTGCTGGTGTTTAGGGTGTTAATGTTTATAGTGATCATAGGTACAGTGTTTATAGTAATGTTTATACGTACGGTGTTCACAGTAGAGTTTACACTGTAAACTCTACTGTGTTGGTGTTTACGTTATACTTACGAAATATTAATACCACTATTGGAAACAGACCACGGAACGGGCGGGGCTTGAACTCAAAAAAAAAAAAAAAAATACAGTGATCACGATGCAGCACAGGAAGAATGACCACAAGAACGGCAGTAGGCCTCCTGGCCTAGTCCTGCAATAGCAGCAGCAATTTCTTGATGACGTCATCATCTCAGAAACTCTAAAACGAATCCTACTTAAAACGACAAATATTGCGCTTAACATGAATAACAACAACAACAACAATAACAACAGCAATAATAATAATAATAATAATAATAATAATAATAAAATAATCATAATTCACGGGGAAGCGCTAAACAAGAATGGACCATACAGCGAAAGCGGAAATGTTACCTGGTTCTGTCCAAGGAGCAGGCCGGTCTTAGTTCCGCGGATCAAGAGCCCGGCACCAACAGAGTTCTTGATCCGGGGAAGGGAAGGACGGGGAGGGGAAAATCGTTGTTGAATAGCAGGAGGAAAAAAAATATATAAATATCGTATTTCAGATACACGTGGGTAAGTGACTCGATCCTCAGTCTGCTAATAGCGATCCTAACTCTGACCAATCAGGATGTTGGTGCTTCTTTATATATATAGAGGGTTTGGTAACTTGTTCTCAGCAGCAACACCAGC